TCTCTCTCTCTCTCTCTCTCTCTTTCTTTCTGTGTAATATCTGTGTCCAGTTTTTTCGACAATTTATCACATACTCTGTATGCACATTTCAAGATCAAAGATCAATCAATCAATCAAAGCAATCAATCAAGCAAGCAAGCAAACAATCATCAATATCTATATATCTAGGTTTGTCCGTCTGTCGGTCTGCTTTTCTTTATATGTACAGCTGCGTTTTGGGGGGAGTTTATTCGAGTGTATGTGTTCATGTATAGTATGAATTGTGTTCCTGTTGTGTCAAGGCCCCTATCAGAGTGTAACTGTCTGCGTCTTCTACTCGATTTGTTTACACAATTGACAAAGACTCAGGAAATACGAGATACGTACCTCTTTGACATAGCGCTATATTAAGGCCATGTATTTCTTATGGAACCCAAAAATGCTTGAACAAAGCAGAACAAAATAAATGCAATGAATTCTAGGAACGGGCTATGCTTCAACCATTTTCGTACGAAAATGTGCTTGAAGATAAGTACCTGAAAACATAATACATGTTGATGGGAGATGTGGTAATTCTACTGCAATGCAATGAGAAAACGAAGGACTATTGTACTAGAAGTACAAACTTTCAAAGAAAATAAATGCATATGTAAAAATAAAATGGACTGGTATGTCCAGCCGGATTACGAAGAAGACCACCAATGTAAGTAAAATAGAAAAAAAATCGGCTTTTTTAATGCCGTTGCAGCAACTCTCTTTTATCGAAACAATAAAAATGAGAAGCAAACAAGTGTATTAATAGAAGAATATTCAGCCGACTTTAACATGTTCAATGTAGAATTACAGTGTGCCAACCAGTGACCGCTTAGAAGTCGTGTAAACAATAAAGCATAGCACACACTTTCAACAACGTGTTTCTTGGTTGTGCCTGACATTGACTACGAAGTATGGTCTGTTTACCAGCTTTAAAAAGTAGGAAACAATAATCTGTCTATCGTATGGTATCTGAATTAAAGAAGCTGTGAGAGAGAACAGGAAAGCGGGTCTCCCAGGAGACCAAATAAGGAAACGTTTAGGAAAATAGAATCCGAAGATGTCGCTCACAGAGTACGACGTTTGATATGTACAATCTTTTAAAAATAGATAATATCTATTATGTTCCCCGAAGAGGATATTTGAGCAGGTCTTGCGTTTACCTGGACACGCGCCTCTGTCAGTCCGATTTTCAGCGCTAGCTCCTCGCGGAAGAATACGTCCGGGTAATGAGTCTTTTGAAAGGCCCGCTCGAGCTCCTCTAGTTGAGAGCTGTTGAAAGTAGTGCGATAGCGTCTCTGCTTCCGGCGGCTTGTAGACCCTGCAAGGGGTGTCAAAGAGCGAAATGAGTACATGAAAGCATTTCCGTGAGATTCTGCTTTATACCATAATATTATGTATCTACCCCCCCCCCCCCCTTCCACCCCCTATATTTTAGTACCCTTAACAGGAACGATTAAAAATATAGGATAGGAAACAAATTCTCCCAAACTTTCTCAACACGATGAGACATCTATCCAATGTGACGGTCGAGGTTTTACCGTCCTCGTCCTGAAACCAAAATGGACTGATCCCGCCCCTGTAGTTGAACGCTTTGTAAAGGTTGGGGTATTATTCTGCTTTGGTTGAACATTTTTAAAGTTGAAATTTTTCGAAGCGTCGATTGATTTTTTCCCATATTATTATTGACAAGTTTGACGTCCCTCTTTATTGAATTCTATTTGTTCGATGTTTTGTTGAAATAGGTGTAAAGATGTCCAAGTTATTGCCCTTTAAACGAGCCCTTTCTTTTAGGCACCTCGTATTTACCTACATCTTTCTTCCTTGCCCTATAACGGGTGAGAGTTGAGATCTGCGCTAGATAAAATCGATCAGACTCGTTACCGCCACTTCCAGCCTCTGAGGGCAACAATTTAATGTCGGCCAGTACGTGAGAACACTCCACACCAGAAGCACCTCAATTGCACTGGGCACAAGGGAAGCCGGCCCAGTGATCAAATTTCCTCGTTTTCCAACATTCTAACCAGGAGTCTCCGTCCGCGTCAAAGACCTCGTTATTAAGTTAGAAGCCACTTCTGTAAATACTTCCGTCAAAACAATCTTGACTCGTGCGCCCACTTAATGGAAAAAAGCTCTCTTCATTTGTTTTGATTTAATCGAGTTAGGTTATAGCATTACACACTTTCGAAAATAACGGCAATTTTGTTTTCTCTGCACGACTTCTTTCTAATGAATAACGTTAGCCAGTCTCTTCTGTACATACGTTTTCGGTCTATCTGATTTAGAAAGCATGTATCAGAGCTGTGCATCTAAGAAAATACAAACATTCGCCATGTGTATTTTTTACACAAATTTTCTTTTTTATAGCATCATTATATACCTTCTTTGTACACTTTTAAAAAACTTACTGGTAATGTGGATGTTTCCGAAAATATGTTTTCCGGGTTCATAAGCATAAATGAATTTGATTATTGTAATTAAGTAAAGAAAAATCAAAACTCCGTGTTAAACGGGTCTAGCGTTCGACTCCGTAAAATGCCAGTAGCACTATTGTAAGAGGACAAACCACTTTAAACCTAAATACTTCATGGCTTTTCGCTGGAGAATGGCCTCCCCCTTGTCATAAGAAGTGAACGTGTAAAATGTGTTCGGTAGCACCTTACGGTCTAGCTTTTTTTTCGCTTAACTTAGTGGTACATTTTCCGGCTTTAATTGGACACATTCGTGACGAATCAAGGTTGACAACTTAACCCAGTTACAGTAGTGCTTATTAAACATTGTTACCTTCTATAATCCCTGTTGTCTGGTGCACTTTTATACAATACATGTAAACGTGTAAAATAAAATACGAGTAAAATAACTACTCGACTTCAGATGAATAAACAATACACTCAGGTTTACTAGATATCTATCTCGGATTGAAGAAACAATGGCCAGCAGTCAAATTTCAAAGAGCACTTTTTCCTGGTCAAGGTCTTCGCAAAAATAACCGTCTCATTTTTAGGGCTATGTTATTATCATTATCATCAACTTTTGAAGTTGAAAAATCAGTGTGTTAGTGGCATTGAATAACAAAAGGTTTATTCAAGAACAACGAGGTTATCCTATGCTTCATTTTTTTGTACAAGTTCAACGACATACAGAACATGTTTTATTAATAAATACATCGATGTTATACTTTTAAAATATATGCTATGGCTCATGTGGAGGGCAGGCTCTGAGCTGTGCAGTTTTCGGCGTGAGGGCGAGGAGAGGGGCTATTTTTAGACCAATCGTCAGGGAAAGAGAGCTGGAGAGAAAACATAGGAAGCAGGAAGGGGAAAAGTTGCTGGTTTTACGTCAAGAGCTTATGACGTAGCAGGAGTGAATGAGCGGCACTCCACGTCATCTTCCCACCCCCTCTCTGTCTGTCTATCTGTCTGTCTGTCTGTCTGTCGGTCTGTCTGTTTTTCTTTCTGTGTGTTCATCTTTATTCGTCTGAATTTCTGTATGTCTATTCCCCCCCCCC